AAGATATTTATATTGAACTGCCTGAATGATTTTCTGATGTCTTCAACTTTTTTTTCATGTTTTAGTTGAATAGACTTTTAATGCAGTGAAAGAATTTTCATCTTGAGATGAACTGGACCTTTAAATGCAGTAACCCACTAAAGTGGCCACTGAGAATGTGTGTTATTTAACTTAATTATTGAAAAAGCCTGTTAATAAAAAATAATATAATAATCACAATACCTTGTAAGACATTTTCTAAAGCAGCATCAGCACCAAGTGCATTTTCCAACTCCTCAATCTCCCTCTGAATCCGCAAACGCTCTGTCTCCAAGTCATCACGCTCCTAGAAAAATTACAAGAAATGCAATACTGAAAAAAAGACTATGTACAATAAACTCTACATTATTTACTAATGTGAAGTTTTGCAGCATTTATTACTCATAGTTCAAAATTTACTAGAGTGAAATTAATCCAAAGTTGTGTTTGTTAACATTGGTTATTACACAGCTATCTGAAATAATCAATTTTGATTGGTCAGTCTCAACATTCTAAGGTTTGTTATCCTGCTAAATAACACAGGCTCATCCAGGAACTTCCAATCACATTGACCGTCAGTGAAAACATACAAATCTATATACTTCTATCCACATTTATATGTATTTGCTTGTCTGTCAGGCTGCAGTTTTTGACTGTTTGCCACCATCTTGTAACTGAATAATGCACAAGTTGGTGTATTCTCCATCAGCTGTTTTTGATTCTGTCAGTTTTGCATTTAAAGAATTTTTAAACGCATACAGCTCGGAGCAATGTTTGAAATGAACATCTGCTAATGTTAATAATTGCTTTTATAGTTGGCTTTAGTTAAATTGACATTGGCTTTAGAGACATTAAGTAATGGAGCCTTTCTGTACAGAGTTGAGAAACAAAAGGCCTATTAACAAAAGTTTCAATGTCGTGGGCCAGACTTACATGTGAAAATGTTATTGCTTGAAATAAATTGTCAAATTAGGTCTTCAAGCATTTGGTCTTATGATAAACAACCCTTGCAAATACAACAGTCTGAATATTCTTAAAAGACACTCTAGAATTAAAATATCAAATAATTATAAACTTTATTTTGAAATGCTTACAATATTATTATTGAGCATGTTCATGATCATGATATATTGAACATCAGCATGTGTCTAATTTCATACATGTTGTAGCCATTCACAGTATAATAATTAGGCATGTATTTGGATTCTTACCACCCTTTTAACTGTTGGTCCACTGTCATCAGATTCATAATCTGTCAAAGAAATGTTATATTCAGTTTATAGAGAGACAAACCAAATTTTCACGAGTGAAATTCCATGATTTTTATTTATTCTAGGTAAGAATTTCATCAAATCATCAAGAGTATTTCTAAGACTGATTTAAATATCCTAGCTGTTTACCTACTACCTTGGCAGAATATGTGGCCTTTATATGAATGTTAATCCATTAGGATCCCAAAATCTCTTAATTATAGTGACTCACCACTGCTGTTGTCCGATGACAGCTGGTCTGCGATGCTGCTGTCTGCACCTAAAGTGCTCTCCAGAGCCAAAATCTCCCTCTGTATTTTATCCCTCTGCGCTCGTAAGTCGTCAGATGCCATTTTTGGACAAGGTGAAACCTGAAAACCTTGCACCGGTTAATAATTTTGAAAATTGCACAATTTGCAGATAAAATTATCACTTATCTGCAGGGGTGTTAAGCATTTGAGAAACTTTGCTTCAATTTTATATTAAAATATGTTATATTTCATAGGTCAAAAAGTTTTATATTTAAAAAAAAAGTCTTTAGAATTACAGAAACTGCTCTCCAGCTAAATTTAGTTAAGCGTTCTGAATTCCTATTATTTGTAATCTAATCTGCCCCATATTACAGAATGTATTGCAATGCTTTTTATTTGTAACCATCACTTAGGATGGACAACAGCTGAATAAAACATGCAACATTTAAATCAAAATATTGAGTTAACATTTACTGGAGGGATTTTCAATTGGGGGAGTTGGAAAAAAGAGAAATATAATTAAAACAATCAAAATAAAGACAAACAATAAAACAAATTATAAAATATATATGATAAAAATAAATGCACAATAGTCTACGAAAGATTTTAGAATCTATTAATTATAATGAGAAATAGAAAAAATAATTAAATTATCTAAAATCTAATTAATTATAGACTAGATTGAAAAAGAAGAAAATTTATATATATATATATATATATATATATATATATATATATATATATATATATATATATATATATACATATATACACACACACACACACACACATTCCGTGCAAATGTCAACCATGCCATAAAGTTTTCACTAAAATAGAGAAATCTATTCTGCATTTTTTGTGTAAGTATTTTGCAGTACTTTAAAAATGTTTCTGTCAATGTTTTTAAGCTATTATATTTGATTAACCAAAGTCACACAATTGCCAATTTTACATCTGTCACATCCATAACAGAGCTTTTCCCACATAAATGCAAAAATGTCAAATAAAATAAAATCAACGATTTTTGTTTTACAGTGAGCCAACTCTTATCCGTTTGATGAGCATTATTTCTTTTGGGTTGTGCACTTTAATTCACATAATTTCTAAAAAGTATTCTGTATACTGTAAACTTGCATGCTTTTTTGTCACATACATGATAACGCATCTTTATTTTCCTCATTTATTAAATATAAAAATGTTTACAGATTGATATTTTTCTGATCCTATAACTTTCTGGTTAACGTTAGCTGTTTTAGAAAATATGAACAGATTTTTTTAATTAATTATATATTTTCAATTTACACACACACACATATATATATATATATATATATACATACATACATACATATATATATATATATATATATATATATATATATATATATATATATATATATATATATAAATTAGGAGATATTTTAATAGAGATACTTTAAACCCATTTATAATAATTTGTCAGGGTATATGTTGGGTCCTATTTACAAGAGAAACAGTTGACGTTACCTTTTACATTATTAGGTCACATTTGCGGATCCGTGAACGATTGAAACCCCGTCCCATGCCTGAAGTATTTGCTTTAAGCCTAAAGAAAAACTAAGACATTTAAAAAACAGTTCTTGAGTGTCTGGCGCCATAAACTAAACATACACATGAAAATGTTCCATTGGCTGTCTTCGCAGTGTACTTACATTACCCTTTTGTTAAAACATCATTCTGCAGCTCTTCTATAAGAGAAACCTGCTGAATCCTGCAGCATCACTTCACACGTTTCTCACCTAAATCTTCGTCTAACTTACATACACATAAACGCAGAGCGCACATGGGGGTTGTAAACTACAATTGAACTTATTCAAATTAAATCGAAGTGCTACTTTTAAAGGTTGATTACAAATAGGAATGATATTTCTACAAATCAATAACTCTATACCTTGATAAAACTATTGTACGTTACTTGTACGTCATGTGTGTACAACCATGAGTCGCGCGATAAGTGCGTCATGTTCACTGACAAACACTTCATAATAAAAGTCTCATCTATTGTCAAAAAGTCACGTTTTTGACACAATGTTGTTTAATTTCACTACAACTTTTGTATCACAAACAATTTTCAGTATTATTTTTTAAAATAAGAATCGGTGAACGGTGCGACACTCAATTTCAGACTGTTTCACAGCAAGACTTTTAAAATTAATATATAACAGTGGAAAGCGTGTTGCCTATTTTTGGTGTATATTTAATCATTCACTTGCGGTATATTATGAGACCCTCCTCATAATTTACATTTAAAAAGTGATTTGTATATTATTAATAAGTTTTTTTTACTTGCATTTAATTAATTACTTTGGTACATTTTTATTTATACAGAGACTCATCTTTCCAACTCAAATTTGGCATCCATTTAATCTATTATGGTTAGTTAAAATAATAAAAGATATTAAGAAGTTTGGTATATATTGGATTTACAAATACAGGGTTCATACACATTTTTACTACTAAAATTCCATGACTTTTCCAGAACTTTTAAGCACATTTTCATGACTTAATGTTTCATGTAATGTCTAAATATACATGGTAAATAATGAGAAAAATAATGACGTTTAAAAATAAAAAATAAAAATCGTTTTTATATCCATGTTAAATTGATTTTGATAGTGCTTAAACAGCACTAACAATGTGAGAGCAAGTTTTTGGCCAAGGACAGAAGATAGGCAACTAACCTATATTCAGGTTAGGGCTGCACAATATATCGTTAAGCATCGATATCGCAATGTGTGCATCCCCAATAGTCACATCGCAGAATATGCAATGTTTGGATTGTAGTTTAATCATAATAGAGTAAAAGTTTATCACCTGCTGATTTTTTAGAGAAATAGCTCAGCCAAAAGTTACTTGACATTTTCATTACACCCTTCACTTAAATGAACACAAAAACAATATAATTAAATAATATAATTAAACAATATTAAACAATATAATTAAATTAAACACCCGGCCACAAGCATTTTTTTGTTACTTTAATAAAGATTAAATATTATACAATGAAGTGTTGATAATTCAATATCTGTACCTGAATAGTGAATACCTGAAAACTATAATTCACCTTTATCTTTTCTTTAGCTTATTTATCTATGCTTGTAATTTATTTGTTATATATTATTCAAGAATTTTTCTCTACAAAATCCCCCCAATCAATCCAAATAAACCTCTTGAATCATCTGGTGAAATTGTTTTAACATCGCAATATACATCATAGAAATACAAAATATTGTTATGTCAGATTTTTCCAATATCGTGCAGCCCTAATTTAAGTATTAAGATATTTGTTAAACTAATTTCTATGATTTTTCCAAAACTTTGTGGGTTTCTTCTGTTTTTCCAAAACTTTTCCAGGACTGGAAAATGCCATGTCAAAATTCCAAGACTTTTCCAGGTTTTCCATGACCGAATGAACCCTGCAAGTAATAACAGGACCACATGATTAAAACAAACATCTTTATTGGGTCAATAAAGAGAAGGGCATCATCAATATAAGGCACTTTATCAAGTGTTGATTAGTTAAATTTGTTTAAAATAAACAAAGATTTTACTTAACAACGCAGAAATAAAATATAAAAAATGTGTTACATACATCAAACTCAACAAAATCTTCCAAATAATGTGTAAAGAAAGATCTAAAGAAAGGATTAACTTCACTCACTGTTTAGACAAAAGTGCAAAAAGTTTTTGAAAAATCATTTATCATAAATCTTTTGATTTTCATGACAGAATTCAAGGCACTATTTGACATACTGAAGTATCTGTGTGATTAAGCTCATAATATAGAGCTTAATTTGGTCATAAAATCATAATATCTAAACATGATATCAATGAAGATGAATGAAACAAATAGTGGAATACCACAGTACAGTGATTCTATAGTGTAAAAAAACATGATGTTTGCATGTTGGGGAAACTTTTCACATCAGTCATGAATCTCAGTGATCTTGTCAATGGATGACAATAACTGAGACACTAAACAGAAAGTCTCTCTTCCAGTCAGCAACTGCCTGTAAACACACACAACACATTCAGTAAAATAAGGTATCAGTTTGAATTAATCACCTTCGGTAACTCTGAAATGACTGTAATGTCATAGTTAACCATACTTGATGGAGATCTCTGCATCTTGAGCTGCTTTGTTGAGGTATTCAGAGGCCACTTGCGCATTGTGTCTCATTGTGGCTAAGGCTGCCGTTTCTCCAAGTCTCAGCCTTTCGTTTTCACTTTTATAGTCTTCAAGCTGGCCCTGAGAGGAAACAACGTTTAAAGCAATGCAGTAAGTTATTATTTCGATCACAAATGCAAACATCAACAGCAGTGGCATCAAGGTTTGCCATTCATTTATAGTTGCATGAAAGTGATTGTATTTTGAAATACAGAAGTACTTATTTTATGTTGAATACTTCAGATAACTGATAAATATTGAAGCTAGAACAACATTAAAGTGCAGCAAACACTAGTCATGTATAACACAAAACATGAAAATAACATGATAAAAAATACTACTTTTTATAGGATTTACAGTTCTAAAATATAAACTCACAGACGACACCAGAAACCTTGTTTTAAAGTTACAAAACACTTACATAACAAAAGAAAGTGAATAGCAGTGTACATTCACCGGCCACTTTATTAGGTACACCTGTCTGACTGCTCTTTATGTGAATTTCTAATCAGCAAATCACATGGCAGCAACTCAACGCATTAAAGCATTTGGACTTGGTCAAGACGATCTGCTGCAGTTCAAACCGAGCATCAGAATGGGGAAGAAAGGTGATATACGTGACTTAGAAAGTGGCGTTGTTGTTGCCAGACTGGTCTGTGTATATTAGAAACTGCTGATCTACTAGAATTTTCACACACATACATCTCTAGGGTTTACAAGGAATGGGCTGAAAAAGAGAAAATATCCAGTGAGCGGCAATTTTGTGGGTGCAAATGCCTTGTTGATGCCAGAGGTCAGTGGAGAATGGGCAGACTGGTTCCAGCTGATAGAAAGGCAACAGTAACTCAAATAAGCACACGTCACAACCGAGGTATGCAGAAGAGCATCTCTGCACAACAAGTCCAAACCTTGAGGCGGATGGGCTACAGCAGCAGAAGTCCACACCGGGAGCCACTCCTGTCAGCTATGAACAGGAAACTGAGGCTACAATTTACACAGGCTCTCCAAAATTGGACAATAGAAAATTGGAAAAACATTGCCTGGTCTGATGAGTCTCCATTTCTGCTGTGACATTTGGATGGTAGGGTCAGAATTTGGCATCAACGACATGAAAGCATGGATGGATCCTGCCTTCTATCAAAGGTTCAGGCTGCTTGTGGTGGTGTAATGGTGTGGGGGATATTTTCTTAGCACACATTGGGCTTATTAGTACCAATTGAGCATCGTGTCAACACCACAGCCTACCTGAGTATTACTGCTGACTATGTCTATCCCTTTATGACCACAATGTACCTATCTTCTGATGGGTACTTCCAGCTGGATAATGCACCATGTCATAAAGCGCGACTCATCTCAGACTGGTTTCTTAAACATGACAATGAGTTCACTGTACTCAAATGGCCTCCACAGTCACCAGATTTAAATCCAATAGAGCACTTTTGGGATGTGGTGGAACGGGAGATTCTCATCATGGATGTGCAGCTGACAAATCTGCAGCAACTGTGTGATGCTATCATGTCAATATGGACCAAAATTTCTGAGCATTATTTCCAGTACCTTGTTTAATCTATGCCACGAAGGATTAAGGCAGTTTTGAGAGCAAAAAGGGGTCCAACGCGCTACTAGTAGAGTGTACCTAATAAAGTGGCCAGGGAGAGTTTATTCATTTCTACTTGTGCATATGAAAAGAAAACAAACCTGGAGTTTTAGCATCTCTTGTTTCAATTTTGAAATATTATTTTCAGCCTTTACTGCCCGCTTCTGTATTGAATAAAGCACAATTATTCCCTTAAATGCACTTAAAACATTTAACACAAACAAAACAAGATAACACTTTACAATACGGTTGTAATTAGTTAATAACTGTTAATGCACTTACTAATGTGAAGAAACAATAAACAATACATTTATTACAGAAATTGTTCATGTCAGTTAACGTTAGTTACTGAAAATACAGTTGTTTATAGTTCGTTAACCCAGTGTTAACTAATGTTATCAAACATGAATTTGGATGTTAATAATGCATTAGTAAATGTTAAACTGTGATTAATTAATGATGTACAGTACAAACATTGCTCATACTTAGTACATGTAATGAACCCTAATTGCAAAGTGTGACCCAAATTGAAATGAATAAAACATTATTCTGATCGAATAAACATTACTTAAAAAACTAGCACAATACCGTCATTAGCTGAAGATTTTGTTCTACCGACTGCACCATTGCTTCCAAATCATTTGCCTCTTTCTCTTCCTGTAACTTCTTATTGTGCATCTCATCTGTGAGTTGTTTAATCCTATTCAAATTGGATTGTGCATTAGAAATCATAAAGAAAAAAAGGCAAATAGCAAACTTAAATTATACAGATACTTTTAAATTCATTAATTAGCTCAAAAGAATTAATGACATAAATTTACATCCAGCAGTTTAACAATATAGCTTACCTTCTAGAGTCAGTTTCCGACATTCTAACTAGCTCTTTGACTTGCTTTCTGAGAAGGGAATTTTCTTCTCTGAGCTGAAGCACAATACAAACAAAATAAAATGACTAAAAGACTTTTATTTACAAATGCAGAACAGATTATAATATAACAAGTAAACAAATATATATGTACTGTATATGGGTCAAATATAAAAAGAGGTTTTAGTGCAATAAAAACAACAACTATAAGACAGCTTTATATTTATTTTCTCAATGGACCCTTTTCACAAGACTGTTATGATGCGTTTAACGGTCATCAGTATCTTAAATCCTTAAAAGATTTCAATATTTTTTTTAAAAATAAAATAAATGTATCAACATTTATATGCATTTATGTGTGTATTATATCAGGTGAGCTGCGAGGAGCAAGGTGTTTGTAATGCCGAAAACTCGATACATCTCTAACATGATGAAGAACCTTTATTTGTCACAACATTGTTACATGCAGCGAAATTGGACCCCTCAGACCATACACAAACATCACACATTTCAGGAGAAGACAAGTCAGTCAAGACTAGAAGATGACACGGGAGTGGATTTTACTCCTGTCCCGACCCACTCCCGCAGAAATAAATCTTGTCCCGTACCACTCGCAGACCAAAGTTTAAAAAATAATCCTGTCCCATCCCGCTTCTGGTAAAATGACTCCCACTCCAATTCCGCTCCTGTTTAAAATGCCTCCCGCTCTTGTACCGCTCCCATATATATATATTTTTTCTACTTTTACTCTTTACGTAGTACATAGAATTTGAATTTATCTGCTGTTTTAGACCAGCTGCTGAGTCCCTGTTCTAGTTTTTCTTGAGATCAGTTGTAGTAAATAAAAGAAAAACAGTACATCGTTCACACCAAGCCGCATTTTACCCATTTATTAAAGTTTTTTTAATTAACATGTTAACAATATTGATCCAATTCAAGCAATTTCTACGCAAGTGTTTGCTTCTTTCAGCACTTATGGCTCCTGGGTCGTGTAGTTCGTTTTAATTGTGTTACTTTGAAAGAAAACTACAAAAATGGCGGTGTATTTTTTGTCATCATTCTATTGGTTGATTTCTGTCTGCTCCCATTAACTATTTTATCCTGTACCGTCCTAATATCATGATTAAAAGCAATGATGACTCCCATCCCGCAGGAATTCTGTGAACCGTGGGATTCCCGAAAAAATTTCATCCCCTAGTTGAGACGTAGCATAGAAAAATAGGAAATAAGATACATTGGAAAAAAGGAGGTAAGCCCCTACCAGACTGTCCTTAAAGTAGAGCAATCAACAAACTTTTAGATTCCCATTGTTGCACATTTCTTCTGTGTGGTTGGCTCTTAGATCAATAAAGAAAGCTTAGAGCTTATAATTGTTTTTTTTTGTTTTTTTAAGATTTATTTTTGGCCTTTTTGCCTTTATTATTAGAAAGGACAGTATTGAGACAGGAAGCAAAGTGGGAGAGAGAGAGAGGGGGTAGGGTAGGGAAATGACGTCGAGCCGGGATACGAACTCGCGACTCCCTGACCTGCTTTTGCACCATATGTCGGCAAGATTATCTATGTTAATGACAAATTTTATCACGATTCGATACAATATCATTTATGTTATTTGAAAAATTAAAGCACATGATGTTTAAGGAACAAGGAATTTTTTAAAGCACTTCCTAAAATATTTTTTCTTCTGGAGAAAGTCATATTTGTTTTATTTTGTCTGGAATAAAAGCAATTTTTATTTAAAAAAACATTTTAAGGTTTTTATTATTATTATTATTAGCCCCTTTAAACAATTTGTTTTGAATTGTCTACAGAACAAACCAGTAATACAATAACTTGCATGATTACCCTAACTTGTCTAATTAAGCTTATTAACCTAGTTAAGCCTTTAAATGTGACTTTAAACTGAAAACTAGTATCTTAAAAACTATCTATTTAAATATTATGTACTGTTGTCATGGCAAAGATAAGAGCTATTTGAAATTACTTATTGAAACTATTATGTTTAGAAATGTGTTGAATATTTTTTTACTCATTTTTTTACTGATTCATTAGAGACATTTCATCATTACTGGAAAAAAACATACCTGCTGGAGATTCTTTGTGCCATTTTCAGCATTGCCTCTCTTATGATGGAAGGAAATATCAATCACTGAAGTCTCTTCATCCCCCTCATAGCTTCCAGTGCTGATTCTGGATAAGTGCTTTTTTGGCAGGAAGTCAGACTGACCCAGTTCCCATTCAGCCGCTTCTCTCTCATCACTGCACAGAGATGACTGCTCAGAGTAAGCACTGATGTCTGATGCCCCACATAGTTCAAAGTCAGGAGAACCTTCAATGGCTGACCGTTGGTGGCTTTCAATCCATGTCTCGTCGGGTTCACTTTCAGGAGGCTGACAGAGTGCAGAGGGATCAGTGAAAAAAGGACCCTTGGTAGCAAAGTCTATAGAGGTGTTATAGTCCTGCTCGACTAGGCATGCACCATTGTACACCTATGGGGAAATCGAACATTTATAAAACATTATTTTCTTTTTGGGGAAAAAAAGTATTGTTAATGAAATTCTGTGTAATTATTTCAACTCAAGACACAAAAGGATAAGCATATATAGTGTATAGTGTGAATTTATATATACACACATTTACAATCAAGATTGAAATTATTCATAGCCTTGGCAAATTCTGACTTTAAGTATTTGTTCAATTTTAAATAAAATATTATTTCCATAATGATGTCTCTAGTACATCATATTATGTTTTGGGAGAAGCCTATGTTTCCATCCAAAGATGTAAATTAAATTTATGCACAAAACTGAAATATCGCATATAAGATGTGCAAATAAAGCAGCGTTTCCATCCAATGAGAGGCAAACGTCAAAAGTAAAAATGGAATTTGCTGTGGTCGGAAAAGCTGAGTGTGTCTTATTTAATATAATAGTGCAGGCCCGTGCAGAGACTTCCTAAGGGCATGTGCAGGCAGGATGAAACAATTTGAATAGCGGGGTGGGTTGTCGCGAACTAAAGAGCGGGGGGTAGGGGTGGGATGTTAGAGCGAAGGCACTTCAGATAATGTTGAAATGGCACTTTCTATACAAGACTGAAAAGGGCATGTGCACTGCTTAGGTTGAGCCATATGTGTGCACGTGCCTGTATTACTGCACCTCAGAGAACAGTATGCCAATTTGCAATGAATGTGTGGTGGCATTGAAGTCATATTTCATGCGCATCTTTCCTTATCAACAAAAAGTTTATCCTTCTCAGTTATGCACAAACGTTTTTATGGGCATTTTTTTAATTTATGCACATCATTTTCATTAACCATTTTTATGCACATATCAAACATGTACATAAGTTGATAGAAACATAGGTAATTTCCAGTCAAAAACAAACAAAAAAGCTCGCTGGTTTAAAAAAGTCAGAATTTGCCAGGGTATTAAAAATTTCAGGCTTGACTGTGTATACAGTACAATATAGTTATTTTTCTGTACATTAATCCTTATTAATTCATGTACATTACATATCACAGTGCAGCCCCAAAATAATAATTAATTGTAATTTTAAATCCTGGTACTTAAAACTAATTTTCCCACTACCCCCCTGTTTTTTGTCAGTTTGTAAAAATGAATTTAATGCAGACACCAAAATTAAACATCTTGGGCCCTATCATACATCCGGGACAATAAGGCAAAAGACATGTTTGGTGTGGTGTGTTGCTATTTTTTTGTCACACATTGTTTAAATAGCAAATCCATTTGCGCCACTTTGTGGACTCATGGGTGTGCGGGTCTATGAATGAGGTGTGTTAAGGTGCATTGTTGGCAGATGCTATTTTGAGGAACTGAAGTAGAGTGCACCATTGACCAGCTTAAAGCTGCTTTAAAGTCTAGCGCGTTAGTTATGCGCCTATGCAGGTCCAAACGCTTACACATTGCTTAATACACACACAGAATGTACAGCAATACACAAATATGTTTATATTTGAAAAAAAATAAAGGATTAAAATGTAAAAAAAAAAAATATTTTCTACATAAATACAAAAACCACTACCTCCATGCCTCATATGTGTGTTTTTTACAGTTTTTCATGACAAGTTGCAATAGCAAAACATTGTTATTACAAGCAGTTTTATTTATTATATATTTATATTTGTTTGAATAAAAACAAGTTTAGATTTGTCCACCTGTCGAATTTTGGAGATGTTTTCATCACCATATGGTGCATAAGAATAGGACGCGTGTTTGGATTTCACTTTTTTTTGTGACCACACTTTACCACCACATTATTATTGTTAATTTATTTGTTTGCTGGAAATTATAACTGAATTTAGAAATAGTTTTTAAACAAATCTTTGTGCTTAACAAAAGGAATTAAATATGTAGGCAAATGAATGTCTTCAGTGGAGTGCGTACAACACTGTTTCCTTACTCCACAAATTTAAAGGAGTAAAAAGTTCAAGTAAAAAAGCCTAACAGAGGAGGTTTGCTCTTCATCCTTGCACTGCAGATGGTTTGTTTAACTGTTTTTTCGCTAGTTAAGTGTTCAGTTTTTCCACTTAAAAGTCCGCCATGTAAATAGCAAATGCACCATGGGGCAACGCAACTGACTCTTAAAGGGAATGTGAGATGAGACTCTGGTGTAATGCACGTTATGCTCAAAACACACCCATAACTCATTATGAGAATAAGCACAACCCTTTAAGACCATGCGCCGGGGCACAGATAAAAAAAATTTCGTCCTTAAAAAGTGCATTCAGACATGCCCTTAATCCTTTGGTGCCATGCGCTTTAGACTGTGCACCTACATCATTAAAATAAAGCCCCTTGTCTTTGATCCATTTACATAAATATACAAAATTTAAATATGACTTTAATGTTTATAAAGGTATAGAGCACACAATGATGTCAAATGTGTCAGTATTTAGTAAAACTTATGTTATCCCAAACTTGTACAACTTTCTGCATCCAGTACAACAGAAGAAATTTAGAAAATTGTATATACAAAGAAAAAATAAATGAGTGTAGGTCTGAAATATTATAAGAGTGAGAAAATAATACTTAACATGTAATTATTATTTTTTTGTGAAGGTTAAGTTTGCAGGAAGTATATTTAAAATTAAAAGCATACAAATGGCATGTCTGGTGGTCTTTCTGATGTACTCAGAAAACCACATTCTCTTTATACAGCAACATTATGCACATTTAAACTACATTAATTGAGGCACAGAGGTGAATATTTATACTTAGTAAAACAACTATTGACGTATATACGTTTTGTCAGGACTACTGAAGTGAAAATGAAACATATCGATTACCTAACCATCTAAATTACACATATTTCTTACACATTTAGATATGGGCAAATTACAATTTCCCAACTAACGTTACTGTGAGGTGAAATTATTCCTCACCTCTGTGGCTTCTGTGGAACATGACGGCTGGTTTTTGTTTCGGATAAACTCCTTGAACGAAAATGGATTCAGCTCATCTTGCTTTGGCTCATCTGAAAGTAAATTTGTACATCAAAAACAAGTATCATATGCAGAAATAGTCTAAATGAATTCTATATTATTGTGCCTATAGAAAACAGAGAGACGCCTAGTGTTTGATCATGTTGCATAATAGAAAGGGTAAAATAAAAGCAGTGTTACAAGTACCATCTTCAATGATGAGCTTTTTCGACTTGTGTCTGGACATGTTAGCTTAGACAACTTGACCAGAAACGTAAACTTGCTAATCCCAAAGACTTTGAGTCCTAACGCAAATAAAAGATAAACATTACACGGTGTGTAAAAGATGCAAGCGACGAAGAACTACGAAAAATAAATGTATTCCAAAAAAACGCTTTTGTTATTCGCAATAAATGCCGAATAATTTTGCCATAAAAAACAAATCATTATTGTATTTTAGAAACAGCAACATCGCTTACGGCTGTCATCATGTCACTTCTTCGGCTCGGCAAAGAAGAACAGTTACAGCAAACATCGTCAGCATCGCCATCTATTGATGTGGAAGAAAGATTTTTGCAGGTCTGATGTAGTTTGTAGTCTGTCTAATGATGAAAAAAATGCTGACCTCACGTTTAATATAGTCATATTTTCTATAATTCTGGTGTTTTTTTTCTTGTGCTTTTAAAGGTATTAATGATAGCTAATAAGAAAAAAACATACTTTAAAATGTTATGAAGCAAGAGGGTCGCTGGTTCGAGTCCCAGCTGCAACAGTTGGCATTTCTGTGTGGAGTTTCATGTTCTCTCCGTGTTGGTGTAGGTTTCCCCCACAGTCCAAATATGTGCGCTGCAGGTTAATAGAATAAACTAAATTGTCTGTACTGTATGAGTGTGAATGTGACAGTGTGCCCAGTATTGGGTTTGCAACTGGAAGGGCATCCGCTGCGTAAAACATATGCTGGATAAGTTGGTGGTTCATTCCGCTGTGGTGACCGCGGATGAAAAAAGGGACTAGGCCGAAAATAAAATGAATAAATGAATGCTACTAGTAATACATAGCTATGACTATCTAAAAACACATAATAAAACCCATATAGCAAAATTTCTCTGGCCCACACAATCAGGTTTTGCTTGGCCCACATGCCGCAGTGAATTACGGTACATGACTGGACCAAATCTGGCTTCCAGACAAGGGCCAAACACAGACCATATCTGGGCCAAGTCTCAGCCAAGTTAATAACTCATAACTGGGCCAGAACTGGGCCAGTAAGGTTGGTGTGTCACGATTGCAATAAAATTAATAAAACTATGAAGCGTTGTGCTTTAGGCACACTATGGGCCTTGTTTTTTCTCTGTGACCTGAATGGTAGAATTGATTTATTTAATCAAAAATTATTTTTATGTATTTTAAATGTGGGTCAAGACTGGCCAAACTCATGTGGCCCACAATCAATCTTTAAAATCTGGGCCAAATACTACGTTTTACTGTCGTAAATTTGACGACTAATCAATTACAAATTATCAGACCAGAGGTTTTGAATATCAGAAAATAGACTTTATTCTCCATAATAAAGCCGAGAAAGAGCAGAGCAGACCCCAGAGCAGTCTGAAGTCTCTCCTGGACACCTTCTGAAGTCTCTCCTGCACCTTCTAAAGTATCTGTGTTTGTTACAATTTTTATACAGGATTATTTGACACACCCCTAAGTCTCTTTTTAACTCTTGACCATTTTTGAATAGGTTTTTAGTCTAAGGGGTCCTGCTATTCTTGGCTCTCAGCCCACTAGCTCATGTCAGCAGAGATGTTACAGGTCTATGTCAGCAAAGTATAGATGCAACTTATGCAAAGGAACTAAGTGTTTACATACATTGTTATGATAGGATAATAACTTGATAATATGTTACTCATTCTAACTTCTGACACATATAGCTTCATAGAAGTATTTAACCTATATAATCAGCGCTTTACATATTCAGTTATTCTACACAATCAGTCACTCAGCCTTCTCCTAGTGTTGCTTCTGTGCAGGCATACATATCACTGTATTTTTAACACAGGCTGGCATGTTTGCTGCAAACACTACATACATTTCGTGAAGAGAAAATTAACTGCTTTACACTTAGAAAATACTTCACACTGAGAGAATAGAAATCTTCTTCAATCCCTCCTCTTAAGACTTTAGTCTTAATATTATTGTCTTTTAACCCAAAGTGCAATTTCATAATCCAGTTCTCTTAATTACCTCTATCTAGTGACTGATATTAGCCACATAGCAGTTATCAATTGACCAGATTATGCCACCGTACTTTGACAGAAGTCCAGCCAAACATCTTCCCTGTTGATTTGAAGGAAGTAAAAGACTGTACTCTGTTTTTCTCTTAACACATCAAAGACAATAAAGTTTTAAGCATAAGTATTCAGTTGGTTCAGTGCTAGCTGCTAGTTTTCACACTCATGTAGAATATACTTAAGTGATATTATATATAGGTACCATGAAAGCAATATGCAAACAAAATCAATATGCAAACGTAAAAAGCATCAAATGTTGATCTTGATCTTTGCTCATCCTTGTTTCTCTTCTTCTAAGCTATCAGCATCTTCACTTGACTTTAATAGATGTTAATGGAGATGTGTGGTTGAGTCTGAGTTTTGAAATCTGCAGTTGTGCATTCATCATCCCTTGACTTGTGGCACTTCTGTATGTGGTAATCAGGCATATTATCAGAATCACTCTTTACTTTGTTCTGATAAACTCTTGCTTCCACACGTTGCACTTAGTAATTAAGAGCTTTGGAATATTCAGGCTCCTCTGTTTTCGGTCAGCTTTTCCTTGCTGGAGTTGTTTCCTTTCGCTCCTTTGAGGCATTGGTACCTCATCAATGGCATCCCCTTTGGCAGCTGTTGGATTTGCCCTCATCCAGATATGGCCCTTTTCTCCTGAGCTCTCCAGAGTATCCACAGATAGACTCAATCACCTAGACCAATTGGACCTTGTATCACTGCTCTCTCACATGGCTCCTTTCTGGTTTCCTGCACAGATATCGCTTTGCACATGGCAATTATTTGTTTCTTCATTAAAGTCCCTACTGAATTAGACATCTTTGCAAACCATTCCAAGAGTTATGTGCACGCCAGGTTTTATGCAAAGTTTCATGTGGTGTCTTGCAAGGGTCATGCGGTTTCTTGCAAGGTTTCTTTCAAGGGTCGACCCAATAGCAGTTCATTCGATGCGGTGTTAGATGCCTGTTTCTGTCAGTTTCCATGCCATGACTCACCAATGCACTTGTTAGCAAATTAATCCCATTAAGTTTATTATTTTCACATATTTCATTGAGCGTTGGTCTTGATGGATCATCTTCATCTCTTTCAGCCATTTCTGGTAATTGAGCATAATACAATTATTCTCTCTTTTGCTTTATTCATAATTTTTCCATACTTCTTTAGATGTTTTTATTTATTGATCATTCATTAACTTCATGAATACTTTATGAATGCAAACCCATTATGAACTTATTTCTGAAGGCATTTCAAAATTTAGGAAATACTTGTCTTGTCACAGATGTAATAACTATCCCTGCTTCATAATCTGCTCCTGATACCATCTCCAATCATCTACTCATCATAGTTTCTCAACTGTGCTTGTTTACAGAATAATTCTCTATCCAGTCAACACCAAAAACAGTCATCATATCTCACTGTTTGGAGCAATGGTCTCCAGTCAAGTATTTTAAATGAACTAGATCTTTGTGAAGCTGTAGATAATTCAATCATCCACATATCGTGACAGTGTCCATCCTAAGATATTTTCCCTAATTTTAACCCTTTATGCATTCTGGTGTATACAGTGTTTGCTATTCATCAAGCTACACAAGTACAAACAAGTTTCTACCCTCCTCTGGTAGTTACCTAAAATAAACTCAATAGAAACTAAGCACTTAATATATTTACCATCCAAAAGAACATATCTCCACATACAATATGAACTTCAGCTGGAAAATCTTCTCCTATTGATTGCTCTTAAATCATATTATCAACATTAAGCCTCTTTTATCTGTCTTGATTAACCATTTATTTTAATTATCAAATTAACTTCAATTAAATATTATTAGTTACTTATAATTTATTACTACTTTAAATTTAAATTTAAATAGAAATGTCTAGGACAGATTGCATATTACATTATAGATGTTTCTATTAGTGCTCTTATATTTTTACACTTTTCAATAGAGTTTTGTACCTATTTCATCATTTAGTGGTTTTATTTCTGGGCAGATCTACATCTGATTTAATTTTAACCCTCACTGTGCTGCATGGCTGATTTTATCTGCATCTCAGTCCTGTAATGACAATCATTTAGTTGGAATTTGACACTTCTTTCTTTTACTAATCAATTTTCTGATCTATATATTAATTCCTTTTTTGTCTTTGAGTTATTTTCTTTTGGCTCATAATTATTTCCTAAGGCACTCCCATTAAACTAGTTGTTTATACAATTTTGATGCACTTTTTTATCAGCTGACTAAAACTTACTGTATGTTTTGTAAATTTCTCTTTGCTCTGTTTTAACTATTATTCCTTATTAATTCCTTATATTGTTTTCTTAAACACTTTTCTCTTTCAATTTTTCTTATAGTAATTTAGAACTGTTACTTTTTGACCTTATCATGTCCTATGAATTAATTTCAATTGTTGTTTCAATCTTCTCTTTAACTGTAAATCATTTTTCTAAATTTGAATCTCTTTCCAGTTTTCAATATCCAATCTTGATTTAGGCCATTCACAATAAGATTATGTTAAGATATTTCCTTTACTTAATTTTAATTTAAATACTTAATTCCATTCTTATTTATTCTCCAAATTATTTATTGCCTTATCAAAAGCTTTTTCTTTTTCTTTAGTTACCACCCTGCATTGTAATTTATCCTTCTATGTTTAAGGAACTTTTATTAAGCCTACTGAAACTTAAACTCAAATTATTTACCATTCATCATAATATATAATTTCATCATTTAAAGTTTTACCTTGAAATTACCATATAACACTTTTTTTTTTACTTAAAAATTTGCATGATAATAATTTCTCAAATTGACAGGAGTCTGATTTGATACAAGAATGGGTAGTTACACTTTTGTTCTTAATTTTTCTTCTGTAATGCTTGAACTTAATTTGGACTTTAGGAGCTACTTTGAGATGGACTGTCAGACTATCCCCCCTCGCAACCTGAGACAACTAGCTCCAGATTGGCGCAACAGTCTTTTCTATGTTGTCCTGAAATTGCTTCATATCAGGGCACAGTGTTTCCCCCTCTCTCTTTGGGCTGGCTTCTTTCTTTGACTCAGCTGATGTAAAGTTCTGGTAGAGCGTTTTTTCTTTTTGATCAGTTCATCAGTCTCTTGTTAGTGTCTCTTTTGAATGTCTCTGAACACATGTAGCTTTTTCAGTCCTCAGTAAATCCTGAGTATGCAGTGCCTGCATCACTGCTGTAGCATGTCACAAGTGTCAACAGCCATTTTGCTCATTGGTGTTTTTCAAACACCTTTCCATTTGCCAGTGTACTCAGATGTCTGGTAGGTACAAGACTACAGTCCCCCAAAGTTCATCCCTATGTCCTCTTAATTAATATATTTAGAATTTAGCTCATGACTCTTTTTTTTTTTTTCCCATTTTTTCCTTCATCAAATAAAGACTCCTTTTATCCATTTTTTTAAATTAATTAA